CACAACCATATATACCAAAGAATGAATAAAATCTATGCAACATTCCTAGTGAATTAAAGCACAAATGTTCTCACCTTCCTTTTGGGTAACTGTGCATACTTGGTATCATGTAATGTCTGTTACACCCAATATAAAACAATGAAAAAAAAGGACAGTAGCAAAACTTGAATATGCTAAGGAGGGAAAATACAATGTGCGTAGGACACACACACACAAAACTCCAAACAGAGAATAATTTGAAAGACAGGTGAGTCAAAGGGAGCCTGGGGCAGCTCCAGGGAATAACCACCATCTCTTATTTTTTTTCTTGGGAGTTATGCAGCATGTTTGTTCACAGCTAACTTTCAACATCTCTTCCACCCCACACTACCTGATCTTTTTTTCATCCAGAATCTCTATGCAAGCATTTTATACAAAATGGAAGAGCTTCAACAAAAGAAATGGAGTGAGACCCAGCATAGAATTGTGTAGCGAGTAGTGCACTCATTGGGAAGGGTGGGAACTGGGATCATATCCCTAATCCACAGCAAGTATTCAAACTTGGTCTCCGAGAGCCCTGAGGAGAACCCTAACTGCTGGGGGAAATGTTACAAGGTGGAGGAAGTGGAGGCAATTAATTTGGCTAATTCTTGTCAAATTCACAAATAGTTTATTTGCTGAAAATGCCATTTCAGTTAACACAAAACTATTTGTCCAAAAATCCCTCACTGCTATAGTCATAAATATTAACCACTCACCCACAGTCTAAGGTTCAATGAATACAATTCATACACACAAACAGTTGCAGCACTGCCCATGTCTTCCACTCGTCTAGTGATTCAGACCAAATTCTGCCCCTGGCTACATCAGAGTAAATCTGGAGTAACTCCACTGGATCACAGCAAAAACAAGTATTTTCATTTACTTCAGTGGTGTCTGGATCAGGCCATGTGCACTGTCTGCACTCAAATAATAGCCCTAATAATTCTCTAATAGCTGGAACTTGAGGTATAGAGGTTCACATTCTTTTGAAAAGATATATATACACATTGCCTCTGGTGCCTCAGGCTTAACTTAAAATATCATATAAATCTTTCTCAGCCAATCAAAAAGGTATACTAGTAGGCCTACCCCCTAGCCTGAATTATCGCAAATGAAAAGTTCCCTCAATTTTAGTTTCTGTTCCTCTTACACAAATTAATACTTGGAGCATCGCTGACACCCTTTCCATAACCCAAGCCTGTGTGCGACACTTTTGTTTATTTTATTTTCAAGCCATTTTAACTTCTCAGTGTTACATTTTCCAAACGTGTGTTATGTAATTAATTATTTAATTAATTACTTTTCTGATCTTATTTTCTCATCTACATTATGGAAGACGCGCTTAACATGCAAAGAAATGGGTACCCAAATGTAACACACAATGGGATAGTTTTAAATTCTTCAAATATGAGGTTTCCCCTCCCAAAATTTAGCAAACTTCCTCTTCTGGAAGCTTCTGTAATGTGTCTAACACACAGCTTAAATAGTCATGATTTATTTCAAGCTATGGCTAGCTAACGAATACTTTTTTATTTCAAAACTAATTGTCACAGCATAGAGTAATAAGGCAAAACAATTTTTGGTCAAATGAGACTGCTCCAGCCAAGTGTTATTTGTTTGGCAATAGGAAGTTTTGTTTATAACATGTGTTTTGGGGGAGGGGGTACATATCTTACAATGTCTAGAGGAAGAGAAATTCTGAGGGTCCCCAGAATCTATATGTGTCAGTAAAAGTCAAACATCTGTCTGTTCTTTTTTCCTTAATATGAATGGTGCCATAACATGCAACCTACATTCATGAAGACATGAACATCAATCTGTTTACAGCACATCTGGATCAGAGATGACAAAGAGTAACTTAACCATTTAGCAAAGCAAGTGAAGTACTCAATATATATTTTAATTAACCCTGCAATTTGTTCAAGAATGCAGTGTGCACTAGTAGCTTGATTTATTATCTGGAAAAGAGGCTGAGAACAGAAAGACAGCATACTAGAATCTGAAAATGTACACTTTTAGTATTTTTTGCAGAAGAATCCTTCACAGGTTTGAGGCTGAAAGTAAAAATTTACACATCAATTGCAGCATGTTGAATAGAAGCTTTTGCCAAGATAAAATGCAGTAAAATCAAATATAAATGTAAAAGCCTATTACATTCCTTAAAGAGAGCAGCAGAGTTATTTAAATATAATGTTTTAATGTGCAGCTATTAAATTTAATATTTTGTCTGCATAATTTACATACATTTAACTGCTAACAATATTTATTTATCAGAACTATATATGAAATTTTAATAAAGTAGAATTTTCATTCTGTAAATTACAAATGCTGAGGCTTGAAATGATGCAATGTTAACATCCTATAATTCCCAAGCATTCTAGGTATGCATGCTGTTCTCTACTTAGTTATAATTATTTGAAATTAAAATAAACGTGCAATTCCATATCCTGAACTGTATGATTTGCACACCAACATTCCATTCCTTCTCTCATTAAATTTAATGGTATTATTCAGATTTATTTCATTCAGAGCATGATGTATCCCAAACACCCACACTGTCCTTACTGATTTGCATATGTTCATCAATTCTCTGACCAGGCCACTAGGGAAATATAGTCTGTCTCAGGGTATAAAGTATTTCTGATGAGAAATGTGTTTATTGTACAAATTTTGCCAGATAAAACTGAACACCTCATTTCATTGCTTTGTGCACCAGCAGAGTTGCCAATTTTCTAATGGAACAAATTGGAACACCTTTGTCCTACTCCTGCCCTACCCTTCCCCGAGGCCCTGCCCTCACCCTTTCCCTTCTCCAAGGCCTTGCCCTCTCACTTCATCCCCCTTCCCCCTCCTTCACTTTCACCAAGCTGGGGCAGGTCATTTGAGGTGGAGGAGGATATGAGGGCTCCAGCTTGGGGTGCAGTTTCTGGGGCAGGGCCAGAGGTGATGAGTTTGGGACACAGAAGGGGGTCTCAGGGCAGGGATTGGGGTGCAGGGGGAGGTGTGAGGACTCTGGCTGGGAGTGAAGGCTCTAGGCTGAAAATAAGAAGTTTGGGGTGCAGGAGGGGTTGCGGGCTGGAGCTGAAAGATTTGGGGTAAAGGAAGGGGCTCGGGGTTGGGACAAGGGGTTGGGGTGTGAGATTGGATGCGCGATCTGGATGGTGCTTACCTCAGGAAGTTCCTGGGAAGCAGCTGGCAGGTCCCTGCAGCTCCTAGGTGGGAGGCCAAGCAGATGCCACACTCTGCCTGTGCTCACAGGCTGCCCTGCAAATCCCATTGGTAGCATTTCCTGGCCAATGTGAGCTGCAGAACTTGTGCACCGGGCACATGGAGCCACCCTGGTCTGCCCCTACATGTAGGAACCGCAGGGACCTGCCAGCCCCTTCCTGAGAGCTGTGTGGACCTAGAGGAGGTAGAGAGCATCAGCTTGCCTTAAGGTTGGCGGTGCTGAGTGTAGCCACCAGGAACCCTATTTAATCAGACATTCTGGTTTAAAACCAAATATTGGGCTACCCAATGAACCAGGTTTGAAAGACTAGATACTAAGTTAATACATGTTGGCTGACTCAGCCTTTCCTCTTCCCTGGTGCATTCGATTTGCTCTGGAGGGGGCTTTCAGAGGAGGACTCAAATACAAAGGTTTTCTCCCTGCTTACCTAGGATATCTACAATTCCATGGCATAGTCTATCATCCTATACATTTGCCCAGTATTCTTGGCCAAACTTTCCTCCCCTCCCATCCCATACTGTTTTTGTAGAGATGTCTGCCACCTGTGTTCTTGGTTGTTGCCTCGTGCTGCCAAAACAGCTGTATTTCAGATGTGTACTGACTCTTATATGCACTTAGAGCCAACTCCTTCAAACTGCTAATCATGGAAAATCCTTGTTCACAGATTTCAGTGGGATTATTCCTTGGAATAAGGACTAATCCATGGGTAAAGGTTATTAGGAATAGCCCCATAGCTTGGAAAGCATTTGAATTTGAACTAGACTCAATCAGGTCTAGTTCACGGTTTGGTCCATATCTTCAAAGCTCTCACAGAACTGGGCTCAAGGCATGTAGAAGATGGCCAACTGTGATTGATAGTTCTACTCCTGAGGCGCAGTAGAATTTTCCAAGCCAAGGGTACAGCTCCTCTCCGAAAGAGACAGCTCTTTCTCAGGGGTTGCTCTCAGAGAAGTCTTACCACCAATTCAAAGGGCACGGTGCACTTCCTCTTCCTACCTTTTCTGATACGAACCCACATTTAAAAAAATTAAACAAAAGCAACCCTACTAAACCCAAACACTACATTGCAGACATAGAGGGAGAGGTTGAGAAAAAGAATGAACCATGTGTAACCTATGCTTCATGCACTGGTAGAGGGTAATCGGATACTAGCGTGATGAGGGCAGTCACTTTGCTATAATACAATACAGTACATCTGGCAATAACTTGATTCCTATACTGTCATGATTGTCACTTTTACCTCATCTTTCAGGCTTTCGCTGTCATGGATATAGAAGTTAATAAATATTGTAAGATAATTATATGGGCATTAAGTATAAGGGGAAAAAAAGATTTGCTGCTCCACCACAGATTTCCTGTGTGATCTTGGCCAAGTCACTTAGAGTCACTGTGCCTCATTCCCCCACATGGAAAGCAGGGATAATGGTGCTTCCCTACTTCATAAGGGTCATTAGAACAAATACATTAAAGATATAATGACAGTGAGGGCCATATATGACTGATAGACAGCTAGATACACAAAATGCACCTGGCCACTTGTGATATTTGGGATTAAAAATTCCTTCCAATCACTGCAGGCTTCTTGTTGATAACCTCCTATTCACCAATTTGACCCATCACATTTGACCAGCCAAATTCAGTGGCAATGTTTATAATACAGTCATAATTATATCATTATTCAGGAGATTAAATGAGAAGTGCAAGAAACAACCAAGATAGTTGGGGGAAAAAAGCATTTTTGTGTATTTACCTGCCCCCATTATGAGCCCTGGTGCAGTGTCCTTGGTATGGACTGTTCCTGACACATATGGATTGTCTGCCCAGCGGAGATGGAGATGAAGATGGCAATCAGGCTTTAAGGAGAAGAGGAAAAACACAGTATTTTACAAGCTGTTAAGAGCAGTTCTCCTACTTTGGTAATTAATGCATAATCAGAAAGTAGCATGCAGTGATAACTGCCTTACAAAAAAGAGGGAAGAGACTAAATTTCACTAAGCAAGGTCCAGAATAAAATATTAGTTTGATGTATCTAGAGGGAACCAATTACCCTGGCTCTGTATATTTCTGTGCCCTTAAAACAAGGTCTGCAATTCAGAAAGAGACAGTGTGAAATTATAGCACAAAGTAACTTTCTGACAGAATGACTGCTGAGATCTTTTGAAGAGGCAATAAAATCACCAAAGATTTATTTGTTGTTGTTGGTTATCATCATCTCTCGGCTCCTTTTACGCATTTATCAGCTAACAGAGAATCAGATTAAAAACAACTATTTTACTGAAACATCTTCTGTCAGGGGAAAAAATCATCTGAAAAAATATTTTAAATGACGCTTTTGGAGTGAGTTTGATCGTATTACTCATTAATTAACTTACTGGTTTCTGCTCTTTCCGCAGTGGTACAGGAAGCTCAATATTCCTCCCCAACTAAAGTTAATGGAAGCATTGCTAAGGACTTCACTGAGAGATCATGCCCTAAGTGAGTCCCTGATCCAAAGTCCATTGAATTCAAGAGGAGTCCTCACTCTGATTTCAAGTGGCTTTGTATTGAGTCCTGGGGAATGAACCAAGTATTGCTGTAGCCTGGCCTTTTGAAGAGAGACAATATCTCCCCCAATTTCAGTCTTTTATTCCTACTATGCAGAGAGGGATAAAGATTAATCTGTGCCCCTGAGTTTGGACACATACTCTGGCCAAAAATGCAGCATTCTAAGAGTCCAGGGGAGTAGAGAGCCTGTAAGAAGGACACCGGGGATCTGCCTGTCAGTGCTGTCTCAACACTTATGGGTAGCTGGGGCATGTAAACAAACCACAGTAATTTTTGCTCATAAAAAGAAGTTTTTTGACAGCACTAGCCATTTGACTTACATTTCCAGGAGACTCTGTAACTTTCCCTCTCCCTCACCCATTGGGGCAATTGTGTTTTACCATTAAAAAACACGAACACAAAAACAGGAAAAAAAAAGTATTCGTATTTTTAATCCTATTGATGAAGTGCTCTCATTCCCACATCAGTTCACTGTGGTGTAAATTCATTAATAATTAATGAAGGACTGCCTTGAATCAGGATGCCTGGGCAGTCGGTTGGAGCACAATTGTCTCACACTAGTCAAATTAAGCCCCAACAGAAGAATGTGCAATGCTGCAAATGGAGCAAACCACAGATTAATTTGGCCCAATAACTTGTGAAAGCATCTTAAAGGTAGAGAAATGAAAGCATACATCCACATCTGGTGTAAATAGAGGGGAAGGTAGATTGCTTTAGATAACTTAACTACTGTTCACTTATTTATATTTCAACATATTCTACAAATAGTTCTTGTGCACATTGGAGAAAACAATAGGAATCATTAAAAGAAACCACTTACAGGTTTACAGTTGGTTGGTTTACCATTCATATCAGAGATTGGAGGGGTCAGATAGTCCCAGTCACGGCCTTTGTTGTAGCTTATTAGAGTCATAACTTTCCCATCAATTTTTTGATTGGCCAAAAAGACTCCTTTAACACCTCTGACCTGGAGCATAAAATTAAAGAGGGTTAATGACTAGCTTTCAAACACTTCCTCAGTATAGATAATTCCTGGTATAGAATCTCATTAGAAACTGAATATTCTAGCTATTTACTCTTAAAGGGGAAGAGAATGGACATTAAGAAAAAATAAGTGAGCTCGTACTTTTGGTTTCTGAATGTATTTCAAGACATTAGTAGAATGTCTACCCTATACATTTTTGACAACGTATATCACCATATTGCTTGTGCATCATGTGCATGCTTGATACTGAGTTGCACATTGGGATACTCACCTATGGTGCATTGACACAAGCACTCCTGGTGATTATGTACAGTGACAACTCAAGGAGCCATCTACTGCACTCTCTTTAGGGAAGTTTTGGAAATCCATGGTGGGCAGAACATACCACGCAGGGATGACTGGGAGCAAGAGGCCAAACTTCCCAGCTTGTAACTGATTACACCCAATGATGTCATCTATATCCTGTAATTTTCATGCTTTTTAAATAAAACTCCACAAACCCACTCTATTCTCACTGTCCACCATCTCTGACAGAAGCATAAAGCCAGCACAGCTCTACTGTTACCAAGAGCACTGAAAGCACAGGATGCATGCACTTCCGGTATTTGCAAAGCCACAAGAAGAACTGAATAAAAAAGAGCTGTGATGATTCCGTGGAGGACAGACTGCTGTGGGAGATAGCAAGAACCAATTCAAGTTTCTTGGGAGAATTCAGAGCAGCTGCAGATGGTGGACCCTCATTTCTGGGCCTGAGAAATAAGCACTGACTGGCGGGATCACATCACAATGTAGTTTTGGGACAACAAGCAGTGGTTGCAGGAGTTTCAGAGGCATAAATCCACACTTTTAAATTTGTATGCCAAGCTTGCCCAGAACACAGCTGCACGGACAGCACAGCAATAGCACCATCGGAAGCCTGCAACATCGGATGGCTTACTGATCAGCAGGATATCATCTGGGGGTTTTAAAATCCTCTGTGGGGGCTAGTGTAATGTGATTATGCAGGGCCATTAATCATCTCCTGCTATACAGGACTGAGACTCTCAGCAACGGGCAGGATATAATAGAGGAATTTGCAGCCATGGGATTCCCAAAGTGTGGTGGGGCAATAAATGGCACTCATATCCCCATTTTGCCACAAGACCATCTGGCCACAGAGTACATCAACAGAAAAAGCTACTTTTCTATGGTTATGCAAGCTTTAGTGGGTCACTGGGGATACTTCACCAACATTAGTGATGGCTGGTCAGGGAAGATGCACAAGGTGCTGATCAGAAACAACTTGCTTCTTTCCTAACAACTGATGATATGGAAATGACAACAGTGATCCTGGGGGACCTACACCGTCTTCTATTCCCCTTGCCCATGAAGCCATACACTGGTTCTTACCTCAACAGCATCAAGAAAAAAATAAATGACAAACTCAGCACGTGCAGCAAAGCAGTTGAATGTGCTGTTGGTAGACTGAAGAGATGCTGATGTTGTCTGTTCACTAGATTAGACCTTAGTGAAAAAAATCCCAAGGTTATAGCCAACTGCTGTGTCCTGTGCAATATTTGTGAAACAAATGGGGGAAATTGCTGCAGGAAATTGCTGTTGAGTGTGGAGATAGTGCAGCTATCTGCTGAAACTGAATAGCCACTATGAGGACTATTAGAAGAACTCAACACGTAGTTGTACAGCTGAAGAAGGCTTTGAAAGAGTACTTCAACAGTGACCCACAGCAAAGAACCTGTAGCACATTGTGTTCTACGTGGTCTTGCTATTTTGGGTCTTGTTAGGAATTGTGTAGTCCTTGGTGTATGTATATAACCCTCTCAATGCATCTATTAATTTTGTGGTGCTTGCTGTATGTTTATGATTATTACACTGTTTGTCACTGATCCTATGAGTTGTGTCACAATGCACAAGAACAAGTAAGTTGGTGCTTTCAGTACTGCTGGGCATTCTGCAAGATATATTTCAAACTAATACAGATGAATTATTTTCCAGATAAATAATTATTTCCCAGTAATCAAAATAAAGGCAGTCCCCGGGTTACATGGATCCGACTTACATCAGATCCCTACTTACAAACGGGGTGAGGCAACCCCGCATTAGTGGCTTCCCCCCAGCAGACCAGGGAGACGCAAAGCTAGCGCCCCCCTCAGCAGACCAGGGAGATGCGGAGCGGCTTTTCTCAGCAGACACCTCAGCTTGAGAATAAAGGACTGAGGGAAGTGAGGTGTGGGAGAATAAAACTGAGCTCTGGAGAAATGTTTGGCTAGAGTTTCCCCTACAATATGTACCAGTTCCGACTTACATACAAATTTGACTTAAGAACAAACCTACAGTCCCTATCTTGTACGTAACCCGGGGACTGCCTGTACTCCAAAATGCTGTGGAAGTTAAGTAGCAAATACACTACAAATGTAATATATATATATGGAACTTAATAAAGGAGAAATAACATTTAAGGCCATTTCAATACACATACAAGAACCATGATTCTCACAGGTCAGTACATGTGAAGCCAGGGTTGTCATTAATGTCCACTGTGGGGCCCCTTATGTTTAGTGGAA